GCCTCCATGGAAGCAATGGAGAAGAGAATGACAGAGGCAATACAAGCCATGGGGGAGCAGATAGAAAAAACATTGGGGGACCAACTGGAGAAGCAAACTCAGATTCATCTGAAACATCTAGAAGAAGTCCAAGAGAAGAACATAACAGCATTGAAGGAATTGGTTACTACAGAAATAACTTCAATCAAGCAAGAAATGGAAGGAGTTAAGAAGGATGTTCAAGCAAATGCAACCAAGACTACAGAGACAGAGGAGAAGATACAAAAAATAGAAGAGAAACAAGATTCTTTGACTCAACAAATTACAAGATCAGAGACAATGATGGAGTTCAGAAGGATGCAGACTCATCTGAGATTCAGAGGCATTAAGGAAACAGAGAATGAGAATTTAAAAGAAAAAATGATGGAAGTGATAACGGCTTTTTTGGGCGAGGAAGAAGGGTCAATGGACTCAGACTTTGATTTGATTTATAGAGTGAACTCCAGAATTGCAGAAAAGAAGAATTTACCAAGGGATGTAATTGTACAATTTGTAACAAGATCAATAACAGAGGAGATATTCAAGAAGCAATTCACCGTCCCTTTTGTAATAGAGGGAAACAAAATTATGGTGATGAGAGAACTCCCAAGAACAATACTGCAAGACAGGAAAAGGTATAAATCCTTGGCTGACAAACTCAGAGCTTTGAGCATCAGATATAGATGGGAGATTCCACAAGGTTTATCCTTTACGTATCAAGGGGTGAGGATTCAGATCAGATCGATGATGGATTTTTATAAATTTAAGGCGGACAATGCGGACGTCTTTGGAGAACTTTAAAATAAGATTCTATAGATAATTGCCAGTTTTTGTCTCATCTATAAGAGGAGAAATGAAGCCTGATTCTCACGTATTTTTTTCTTCATAGGTCAATAACAAAGCACAATTGCTAGTAGAAAATTCATTTCAAGCAAGTTACAGTCAAATGGAATGGCATTCAGAAGAAGGAATGTCGAAACGACACAGGACATTCCGGAGCACGTCGTTAACATCATTTCCTTAGTTAAAAACCACTTCTATTTATTTGAAACTGACCTTATTTTTGTATTCCAACCTTGTAAAAAAAGCACATCGCTTTAACTTATTTAAACAGCATATATTTTCGGATTTTTTGCAGTACTTTATTATGTAGTTTAGCGCACTTATCACGGTAATAATCCCTGTATAGTGTAGTCCCCAGGTGGGGGCAGGGGAACCCCCGATTTTTTGGGCTCTCCCCGGATGCCCCCAACAGTTGTGGCAGGGGAAACCCCACCCCCAAACAGCGATGGTGGCAACATGTGATGTCACTTCCGGAAGTGACGTCATTGTGTCAGTGACATTGGGGGTGACGTTCTGTTTTTTGGTTTATTTTATTTGTTCAAACAATATTTACCACCATTGCACTAAAAACATGTTTCTGAACTCAGAATTTATACCAATTAGCCCTCTCTCCAATTTGTTTTTGAATTTCATTACAATTAGAAATTATAGTATCCAGTAGAGTCATATTGAATTCTTCGTGTCTGTCTTCTCTTCAGAATATGTTTTACAGATATCCTTGCATAAACTGTTCTGTTTTCCAGGATGGTGAAAGAAGAACTGATAGCATAATGCTAAGACCATTTTCCTGAGAATAAGCTCCAATAAATAAACCTGAGTTGGATTATTTTAGAATTCTTGTCTAAGTCAACAAGAAGCAATAGAGAGATGAAGGTCCAGGGCTGCCTGATTAAAAATCATCATATCTCAATATCCTGCTTCTTAATGTGCTTAAACAGTCAGAATCAATGAAAGTATAGACCTGCCTTCTCTTCTAAGGGAGTATAAGTAAAGCAAGTTATAGTTGCTAATACTGAAAATATTAATTGAAGATACCAGTTTGGTGCTTATTGGTGGTAAAAAAGATGAATTCCATGATAGAAGTTATTATGAAAGACACTTAAAACAAGACAACCAGTATTGTAATGCCTTTGTATCACTCTCTAATGTATCCACATTTGGAATGCTGAGACTTGATGAAATTTCCCACCACTACTTAGCATTTATCTAGTATCTTTGGTCTTCAGAATACTTACCTGTGCTAGCATGCAGCAATCTTTTAAAAAATCCCTGCAGTGTAGCCAGCGTGATCATCCCCATATTATAGATGGAGATTCAAGCTGAGAGGGAGTGGTTTACTTAAAGCCACTTGGGGAATGCACAGCAGAAGCATGATTTGAACTGAAGACTTGTCAGATAACATGCTCTTAGCCTTTATGCCTATACTACAATTTTAAGTACAGTTAGACTTTTCTAAGCATCGAAGTCAATGGGTTTAAGGTATAATTCTGTTTAGGATTGCACTGCTAGATATTTATTTTAGAAAGTGGGATTAAACCAACAATAATTTTTTATTTTTGTTTTTTAGATTGGCAGATAACATAGCATTAGAGACAATACAAATTCCCTCCTAGAACTCTGAGGAGCTTAACCATGAAATTTAGAAAATGAGACCCAAAATTACCCTGGTCAAAATGAAAAATGATTCTCCAAAGTCACACACGGGTAGAGATAATCATGTCTGCAGGAGTGAATATTAATGTCTGAATCATATGGCAGCCCACTTATCTTTTGTAAAGCTTCTTAAGCCACAAGAAATAGAATGAAACAAGACAACAGAGGAATGTGGCAGAAATATTTTAAGTCACCAGGTTAAGAACATCCTCCTGAAGAGCAGGCAGATAGTCAATAAAGAGATTATCATTACAGAGAGAATTTATTTTCAGCAGTAACAAAAATATATATAGTAGATGCTCTCATGAATGGCCACTTCAAGAAGCTTGAGAAAAAGGATTTAATAGGCCCTTCCCTGCCATATAATCTTTCAGTAAATGTCTAAATGGAAAAATCATGGGAGGTTTTTGACAATCTCTTACAAAATCACCATCATCACTATTTCACACACACACCCATCACAGTACGAAGTGCTTTACTGTTCTCATCCTTTTAGTTTTATAGGGATGGCATAAGAATGGGTAAGTTGAGACTTACCCAAGGCCATTATAGTAAGCTTCACTGCTGAAGCACACCTACTTAACTATTTATTTTATTTATTTTTATTCGCCCAAGGTCATCCAGCAGCTGCATGTGGAGGAGTGGGGAATCAAACCAGGTTCTCCCAGATAAGAGTCTGCGCACTCAACCACTACACTAAACTGGCTCTTCTTGGAGAACACATAGAAAGTACCTTCTACTGATTCAGGCCAATGGGTCTATCATGGTGACTATTATCTACTTTGACTGGTGATGGTTATCCAGGATCACAAGCAAAGGTCTTTCACATCACCTCGTGGCTGATCCTTTTAACTGAGGATGTCTGGGAATGAAACTGGGATCCTCCGCATGCAAAGCCCATGCTGTACCACTGAGCCAGGACCCCTTCCCAGTACCTTTGAACCCCAAAACCTCCTAGAATATACCCAAGCACCATTAAAAAGTAGAGTGGAAAACTGTGACTGTTACAACTCATCATTGGCTATTACCATTGCAAATCGGCTGCATGCTGAGTGACATAAAACGTCTTCCTATCGAGTAATGCTTATAGATTTTGCCAGTTTAAAGTGTGTTACCTAGGTCTATGAATCCAACATCCACGTACAGCTGTGCACAATAGGAACCCAACATCAGACCAAACAATGGGCCCAGGACCGTCGCTATCTGTAGGCAGCCTGAAAGAGGGAAAGGAAAAAAGTATATAACCCCCTCCAACAAAGACATTTTAATGCAAAAAAGTGTATTTTTCAACATGTATTTCAAATGCTGTCTTTAGATTATCAGGAATCTCCCATGTAATGGCAACAGAGACTGATATCAGTGAGTAAAGGTTGTAGTTGACCTCGAGAAGAGAAAGGAGATTTGGATTTATACCCCACCTTTCACTTGGAGTCTCAGAGTGGCTTTCAATCTCCTTTCCCTTCTCCCCCACCCCACAACAGACACCCTGTGAGGCAGGTAGGGCTGAGGGAGCTCTTGAGAGAACTGCTCGTGAGAGAACAGCTTTGAGAGAATTTCTGACTGACCCAAGGTCACCCAGCTGGCTGCATGAGGAGGAGTGGGGAATCAAACCTGCTTCTCCAGATTAGAGTCCTCCACTCAAGCACTATACCAAACTGGCTCTCAAGGACAATTTGAGAGCAATCCTAAGCAGGTCTACTCAGAAGTTGCTGGGGGTGCATGGCAGCTGCTGAGCCAGCTGTCTGCTGCCCGAGTTCAGTGTGGCTACCTAACTACTAGGGTTGCCAGCTTTTTTTTCGGGGAGGGGATCTCTGGGCTGGGAACTACCTGGAGATTTGGGAAGTAGAGCCCAGGGAGGGCGGGGTTTTGGAAAGGGAGGGACCTCAGCAGGGTAGAATGCCATAGAGTCTGCCTTCCAAAGCAGCCATTTTCTCCAGGTTAAATTATCTTTGTCATCTAGAGGTTGGCAAACCTACCTATGAGGCTACTGAGAAAGTGGGGATCAAGGGTAGGGATGCCAACCTCCAGGTGGAACCTGGAGATTCCCCCAGAATTACACTTCCTCCCCAGACTACAGAGATCAGTTCCCTTTGGAGAAAATTGATGCTTTGGAGGGTGGACTCTGTGGCCTTGTACCCCACCTAGGCCCCTGTCCTCCCCGGGCTCCATCCCTGTATCTCCAGGAGTTTCCCAACCTGGATCTGGGAACACTTCCCTCCCACCCCCTGCTGGTGGCCAGAGGGGACCTGGAAACTAGGGGTGTACACCAAAAAAAAACCCCAGGTATTTTTCAGGTCTGTGTATATTAAACCCCCCCAAAATCAGTATTTTTTAATATTACCTAAATATCGGTATGGTATTGGGATCCAGGAAATAATCAGGATTGCCATTTATTTTGGCTCCTTGGTCTCCTTCTCCAGGCAGCAGTTCACATGCCACTTGGGGAGGGTGTTTAAAGGGACCGATCCCTTTGGGCACCCTCTCCAGGTGGCAAGAGAACTCACCACACGGGGAGAGTGTTTGAAGGGACTGTAATCCTTTGGACACCTTCTCCAATGGCTGAGTAAACTTGCTGCTTTGGGGGGGGGTTAAAGGGACGAACTCACTGCTTGGGGAGGGTTTTTAATGGGATGGATCCAGTGTTCCCTCTGAGCTGAGTTAGTGTGAGCTAGCTCACGGGTTTTTTAGACACACAAAAAAAACCCAGGTATTTTTCAGGTCTGTGTATATTAAACCCCCCCAAAATCAGTATTTTTTAATATTACCTAAATATCGGTATGGTATTGGGATCCAGGAAATAATCAGGATTGCCATTTATTTTGGCTCCTTGGTCTCCTTCTCCAGGCAGCAGTTCACATGCCACTTGGGGAGGGTGTTTAAAGGGACCGATCCCTTTGGGCACCCTCTCCAGGTGGCAAGAGAACTCACCACACGGGGAGAGTGTTTGAAGGGACTGTAATCCTTTGGACACCTTCTCCAATGGCTGAGTAAACTTGCTGCTTTGGGGGGGGGTTAAAGGGACGAACTCACTGCTTGGGGAGGGTTTTTAATGGGATGGATCCAGTGTTCCCTCTGAGCTGAGTTAGTGTGAGCTAGCTCACGGGTTTTTTAGCCTCCGGCTCACACACTTTTGCCTTAGCTCAGGAAGGATGGCTCCAGGGCAAACTAATTTATGCAGTAGCCAAATGGCTCGCTCACAACTTTAATGCCAGCAGCTAACAACGTAGAATTTTTGCTCACAAGACTTAGAGGGAGCATTGGAAGCAGCGAGTTTTCTCCTGAAGTCTGTTTTAAACCAGACTGCAGGAGAAGGGAGATCCAGGAGCAGCTGTGCTGCACTGAACACATTGCTCTGTGGAGCACAGGAGATCCTGGGCTTGCTTTCTCCTGCAGTCTGAGCTCCAGGAGCCCGCAAGTGAACTCAGAAGGCATTTAAAGCTCTTCAACCACGGCTATCCGACCAACCTGGAAAAATACCAAATATTTTGGGGGATTTGTCGGGTTAGCCATTTCCAGATAGCCGAGTAAATGGCCCACTAGCTAATGGGTGAAAAAATATCCGGAAAATACCGATACAGTGATACCAAATATGTGTTGGGATTTGTCGGGTTAGCCATTTCCAGATAGCCGAGTAAATGGCCCACTAGCTAACTGGATGAAAAAATATCCAGAAAATACCGATACAGTATTTTTTGGGGGGGTTGTCTCGGTTTACCCAAACGCACACCCCTACCGGCAACCCTAATCAGGGGGCCAGTGCCATGGGCAGCCAAAGCCTTACCCAGCCTGAGGCCCAGTGCAGCTGCCCTGGATACCCTATGGCTAGGCCCGCCTCTGGAGAACAGCAGCAGCATTTCTATTCTAACCCCATGTATGTGTTTCTGAACATGAAATAGGCCCCCAAGCAATCTCAGGCTGATTCTGCATTGGCTTTTCCCTCCGTTGTTATACCAAACCCACTCTGGAACAGAAATTCCCCTCTGCATTGCATGCTGCTTTCACTTCCTTTGATCATCGGATTTTATGGTACCCTCCTCACTCCATGCCACTTTCACTTTCTTTGATAATCGGATTTTTATGGTACCTTCTGCCAGGGGTCATTTCGAGGGGGAATGCGCAGGAACAGCATTCCGGGAGTAACAAGGCCAGGAGCGGGCACATATGGTGATGCGCTGTGGAAAGCCGCCAGGTTTTTGCTGGAGAGACGCAGGTTGTGCCTGTCCGGTACCATGACTCTTTGGAAGTTGATGTCTTGCATGTCTCCCACTTGCTCTGTTTGGGTTTTGAGTAGGAGAATTCCCTAGTGTGTTGGGCCCCCTGGAACAAATCTGTTGGTTTTCCTCCCCCATCTTTAATGACACCCAACTAAGGCAGATCATGTCTCACCTGATCTTACTGTAGGACTATCCTTGCTATAACCTGCCTTGATGTGTTTATGGTAGATGGCAAACATGAGCAGCATTTTATATATGGCTGCTGATGTGATGTCTGTTTGGGATTTTACCTTGTCTGGTCTTAAGGTGTGTGAAGGTGCAATAGAATGCATGCTCCTCAAGACTGTTATAAACATTACCCTTTTAATTAATAACTCTCCCAGGCATGTTGTTGCCGAAATAATCTTTTGATCATTTTCCTGATATATTGCAGAAAAAGCAAAAGCATACTAACTTGATCTGTATTTTCATGCTCATAGGGTAGCTTCCCTGCAAGAGCAAAGGAAACCCAAAGTGTCTTTAGTCAAAAAGTGTAAAGCTGGCTCACCAGCTCTGAGTTGGGAAGTACCTGGAGATTTTTGGGGTGGCGCCTGAGCGGCGGGTGTTGCCTTCTGACACACTTCGGGTGATGTCAGGGGGGGTTGCATATGCAAATAAGTTATGCTAATGAGCTCCTGCACCTCTTTTTTTACGAAATGACCCCTGCCTTCTGCATAGATTTATGGCCATTACGGAGTGACTTTGCAGACAGTACGGGCGTTGTCCTGGGGAATCTGAATGTGGTTTTGAGCTGCACTTTTTCCTCCCAGTTGAGAAAATGAGGGGCGAATGCCAGATGCAGAATCGCCCTCTGTGCCGCTTCGGAGGGTAAACTCTATGGAACCCTATCCCCGTTGAGCTCCCTCCCCTCCCCGAATCCCACCTTCCCCAGCCTCTGCCCCAAATCTCAAAGGGACTTCCCAAGCTAGAGCTGGGAGCCCTCGTTATGATGCGTTGGACACCCACAGAGTCTCTCCTACAGCCCTGGCCTGCTCTGTTGGAGTCTTTAGGAAATTAATAAAAATAGACCTTTCCAGCCAGATGTTTGGAGAGTTCTGAAATTCAAATATGAAAGCTGGAGGCTAAGGAGTGGCTTCAGAGCTTTCACGTAGTACTAAAATTGCTCAATTTGATTTAGGCGGTTCTATTTACGGTAATGTCCTACCGCACTGTATGCTGCTTTTAGGCACTCTAGTGGAAAAGCAGGACATGTGGGTTTTTTTTAAAAAAAAAAAAGCAAGCAAAATGCACGGCTAGTGGTCAAAACTAAAGCTGTGGTGGGAACAGGCCCTGCAGTTTCATACCTTTCCTGCTTCCAAGATTCGTCACTGTCCAAACACACTGGCAGTTTACACTGAAACCGCCTTTCCTCCCTTCACAATGAAACGTCCTTTCACAAAACCCGTTTGACTAGTGGCCACAGTGAGGCCACAATCACGTGCGCCTCAAGCTTTTCAAAATGCCGTGTTGTGGTTTTTAAAGTGGTATGTGAATATTTCCTGGCAGCATACTGCAGGCCTGCCAACACTGGCTTGGGAAATCCCTGAAGATTTAGGAGTGGAACAGGGTTGCTAACCTCCCATTAGGGGCACTGGATCTCCCTACCCTTGGGCCTCGCTCCCCACCAGTGGCCAGCTGGCCAGCAGGGGACTTACCAGCAGGGGAGGCAGGCCTAGACCAGTGTCACCAGCAATGTGGCAATATCACTTCTGGCATGTACTGGAAGTGTCATCACCGCATTACCAGTGTTGTGGTGACACACTGGTATTTGGGCAAAAACTCTATGGTAGAAGCCATTCTTTTTAACCACAGACATTTTGCCCAAATACCAGAGCATTGCGGTGACACCAGCAACGTGATGACATCACTTCTGGTGCACACAGGAAGTGATGTCACTGTGTTGCTGGCAACAAGGCCTAGGCCTCCCTCCTGCTCCTGATGAGCTTCCTCCTTACCCCCTGCCAGTTGCTGGGAGGGACCTGAAAACCCTAGAGAAGAACCCTTTCCAAACTCTGACTTCCCCAGCAACCACTGCCAACTCTCCAGGGATTTCCTAAGCTACACTTGGCCATCTGACCCGTGGGGGATGAAGAGTATTTCCCACCACTCAGAGACATGGTTATGGTTGCCAGCTCTGGGTTAGGAAACACCAGGAGATTTTTTTGGGGGGAGCCTAGCTTGGTGTAGTGGTTAAGTGCGCGGACTCTAATCTGGGAGAAGCGGGCTTGATTCCCCACTCCTCCACTTGCACCTGGCTGGATGACCTTGGGCAAGCCGTAGTTCTGATAAGAGCTGTTCTTGAAAAAGAGCAGTTTCTGTCAAGAGCTCTCTCAACCCCACCTACCTCCACCTACCTCACAGGGTGTCTGTTGTGGGGAGGGGAAGAGAAATGAGTTTGTAAGTCGCTCTGAGACACCTTTGGGTAGTGAAGGGCGGGGTATACATCCAATCTCTTCTTCCCTTCTTCTTCTTCTAGGGAGGGAAGGGTTTGGGGAGGGAAGGAACCTCAGCAGGGTTGCCAGACCCCCCTCCCGTGGGGGCGGGGTCCCCTGGTTTCGGGTGCTCCTCTCCACCACCAACCAGCTGGCCACCCCCACCCCCCCCAAAAAAGGCAAGAAGCCAGAAATAAACATGATATGCCTACGTCACCCAGAAGTGACGTAGGCACATCAGTGATTTTGGGGGGTGATGCTCTAGTTTTGGGGCAAAACTCTATGGTAGAAGCTGATTCTACTATAGAGGTCTTGCCCACAAACCAGAGCATTGCTCCCGACACCCCCAATGTGCCTGTGTAACTTCTGGCTTCTTCCCTCCCCGCTCCCAGTAAGTTCACCTGCATCCCCCACCAGCTGGTTCAACGGACCTGGGAACCCTAGGGTATAGAGCCCTGGAATCCACCTTCCAAAGCAGCCATTTTCTGCAGGGGAACTGATCTTGGTTGTCTGGAGATCAACTGTAAGAGCGGGAGAGCTCCAGTTGCCACCTGGAGGTTGGCAACCCTTGCCATGGACCTGATCTAAATTAGGTCCCCACCTAGCTGCCATTTAGAAAAACAAATAACAAGGGAGAGATCAGACTTTCTGCCCAAAGACGAACCAGGATTTAAAAGGTCAGGCCTACCTCTCTTAAACGTCGTTTGGGTACGAATGAACAAAATATGTTTCTTTAATTACAATTATATATTGCCTTTCCATCCAAAAGGAATCCCAGGAAACCAAGGGTTCATCAGAACTTAATTTTCATGTCAGTACATAACGCTAAGCTTGGGCATTTGCAGGTTTACCAATGTAGAAAGGAGAATTTTCGGATTTTGCAAAATCTTCCACATACGAAATGCCTAAGGGGGTGATGGGCGTTTCACCGACACCTCGGATAATGTTTCCCACCAACAGAAACACCCACATCGAAGATCCGGCCTGCTTTTCACATTCTGTGAATACAAGGAACAAGGAAAGGCATCTGCTTGAACGTTTGCACAGGTAACAAAATACTTTAATGCTGTCCATTCAGAAGTCATAAAACACTGTGAAATGCAATGTTCTATCTGTTCGATCATTTAGTTAGCAGAGTGCGCAAGGGCACATAATGCAGCAGAGCATGTCTGGTTAGTGTGTGCTGCCCAGAAACAGAGTTACACTCAGAGCCTTTTATCTTTGCAAACTAATAAGAGGCCTGTTGGTCAGCCGTGTTGGTCTGAAGCAGTGGAACAAATTTAGAGTCCAGTGGCACCTTTAAGACCAACAAAGGTTTATTCAAGGTATGAGCTTTCGTGTGCATGCACACTTTTTCAAATACACTAGAATGGCAGACAAGGTTCAAACTTATAGCCAGGGAATGAACAGCAAATTAACATGCAACATGATGATGATCGAGATATGCAAAGTCACACTAAGTAACAAGTTAAGGTTATAAGCAGTGTTCCCTCTAAGCTGAGTTAGTGTGAGCCAGCTCACCATTTTTTAGCCTCCGGCTCACCCATTTTTGTCTTCGCTCAGGAAGGATGGCTCCAGAGCAAACTAACGGATGCAGTAGCCCAATCGCTCGCTCACAACTTTAATGCCAGTAGCTCACAAAGTAGAATTTTTGCTCACAAGACTCCACAGCTTAGAGGGAACATTTAAGGTCAACAGTTGTAAAGCAATAAATATGCCAGACTAGCAGATAAATGTCTAAAGGTGCCTTTTCTAATTGTGGAAAGTGACTGGGAATCTTCATTCCCAATCTTTTTATTTAAGAAACTCCATTCTAGACAGGATAGAGTACTGATAGATTTCTAATCTAGTCTAACTAGCTAGAAAAAGAAGAAGAGATTTGGTTTATACCCCGCCCTTTATCACCACTCACAGTGGCTTACAGTCTCCTTTCCCTTCCCCTCCCCACAAGAGACACCTTGTGAGGTAGGAGGGGCTGAGAGAGCTCTTTAGAGAACTGCTCCTGAGAGAATAGCTCTGAGAGAACTGTGACTGACCCAAAGTCATGCCAGCAGCTGCATGTGGAAGAGTGGGGAATCAAACGCAGTTCTCCCAGATTGGAGTCCGCAGTCCTAACCACTACACCAAGCTGGTTAGAGATACAGGATGGTTAGAGATATAGAAATTATGTCCTGCTCTCATTCTGCCAAGATGGAGAAGCTCCTTACTGCCGGAGCTCCACTCCTGTGCACTCCCGCAGGAAATGACCCCTGTTCACACCCATACATAGTAATGGGGATTTAAACAGGGCTCTTTTTGTAGCAGGAACTCCTTTGCATATTAGGTGACACACCCCTAATGGCTACATGGGGTGTGTCGCCTAATATGCAAAGGAGTTCCTGCTACAAAAAGAGCCCTGGCGGAATACCATGGTATGAATTATCTTGATCTTAGTCGCCAGCAACACATTCCATTTTACATTTAATCTTTTCTAGATCCTTCATGGCGGCCCTTCCCAATCTCATTCTCCTCCTGATTTCTTGGTTGCAGTCTCCCTTTTGGTTGATGACGGAGCCAAGGAATAGAAAATCTTGCACAATTTCAGTTTCTTCATTGTCAACCTCAAAGTTGTGTAATTCCCCGGTAGTCATTACTTTTGTCTTCTTGATGTTATCAGAAGGATAAGCAGAAAGATCAGGATGTGGAATGGTACAGTATATAGCCCAATCACATCAGATGTCTGAAGCTAAACTGGGGGCGGTACTTTGGACGGAAGACCACCAAGGAAGACTATGTAGAAGAAGGCAATAGAAAACTGCCCCTGCTTAATCAGTTGCCTTGAAAACCCCATGGCATTGCCCGTTGCCATACATCAGCTGTGATTTGGTGGCAATTTATATACACACAACCAGAAAGATCATGGCCACTCCGGTACCCAAGTTGATCTGAATCCCCATCCCTGGCCTTTCTATTGTTTGCAACTTGTAGTAAAGATGCATCTGCCTAACAGATGAACTCTTTGCGCAGTTGAGGAAGTGAGCGCTAAGTCACAAGTTTATGCTGGAATGCATTTGATTAGCCTTTAAAGTGCCACTTGGACTCTTGTCTAAGACGGCCTGGGAAGGCATAAGTAATGGAATTCTGATCCAATTTGTGAAATTCACCCAGGTGTAAACTACAAATAAGTTCTGCAGTTTCAGAGCCCTACAAAGAGCGAATAATGTCTGTATATCGCCTGCCCTCACTTTGGGGGTAGGGATGCCAGCCTCCAGGTGGGCCCTGGAGATCTTCCAGAATTACAACTGTTCCCCAGACAACAGATAGCCATTCCCCTGGAGGAAACGGCTGCTTTGGAGGGTGGTCTCTATGGCATTATGCCCCACTGAGGTCTCTCCCCTATCCAAACCCCGCCCTCCTAATGCCCCACCCCCAAATCTCTAGTAATTTCTCAACCCTGGAGTTGGCAACCCTAGGGGGTCTTCGTTCTTACAATACAGAATAAAGCTTTTCTGGAACCCTTAAGCCTAACCGTCTGGTTTTCTTAGTACAAATCTACCAGCCAAGACAGTTACACAAAAAAGAGAGACAAGAGTGAATAGTAAACAGAGAGGGGAACCTCACCTTCTGTGGTTTGTTCAGTAGGCATGGTATAATTGGCATGGCAAACAGCCATGAATGAAGAAGAATTTTCTGATGAAAAAGCAATGTTTTCATACTGGTACCTGGGGAGGAAAAAACATAAAAATATGTATGGAATGAAAGGGTGTCCGTCTTTGCCTTGGTTTCTTTTCCTGGGGACTAATATTATCAAGCATTCTCAGCACTGGGAAAATTCATGAGATGAATTTAAAAGCAATAAGTAACAATTACTTTGGGGTAGTCAAACAGATGAAACTTCTGGGGGAACATTTGTGTCACATGAATGGAGGTGGAGGAGGAGGAGGAGGAGGAGAAGAAGAAGAAGAAGAAGAAGAAGAAGAAGAAGAAGAAGAAGTGGTGGTGGTGGTGGTGGTGATTGGATTTATACCCCACCCTTCACCACCTGAAGGAGTCTCAGAAGGAGTTTACAATCTCCTTTCCCTTCCCCTCCCCACAACAGAATCCTGTGAGGTAGGTGGGTCTGAGAGAGCTCTGAGAGACCTGCCCTTGAGAAAACAGCTCTGAAAGAATTTATGACTGACCCAAGGTCACACCAGCAGCTGCAAGTGGAAGAGTGGGGAATCAAACCCAGTTCTCCCAAATTAGAGTCTGCGCTCTTAACCACTACAACAAACTGGCTCTCCAAAAAATGTGCTGTGAGGAAAAAATTGTGCACAAAAGTAGCCTTGCACCCAAGCCCTTTTCAAATGTTACAGTCACATAATGGGTATTACTGATTGTGCAACCATCTTCCTGATATTCATGGTTTCCATGCTGCCTGAACAGGGCCAATGGGCATATTTACCAAGTGCATCCAGCCCCGCTACACACAAAATGATCATTGGATTTATCAGGGTTTGCATTCAAAAGTAATGAGTCTGTACATGTATTGAGAGTATTCTGATCCAATAGGAACAGCTGGTAGCCTCCCAGCATTTGTGACATTTGAAAAGGGGTATAGGTCCAGCTCCACATCTATCTTGCATTCTGTCTTATGGAATAATGCCTGAAAGTTCATACATGGAATAATGCAAAGATTGAAGGTCAAAGAAGACGGGGACGGCAAAGGATGAGATGGTTAGACAATGTCATAGATGCAACAAACATGAAATTGAGCAAACTTCAGAGGACGGCGGAAGACAGGAAGGCCTGGCGTGATCTGGTCCATGGGGCCGCGAAGAGTCGGACTCGACTGTGCAACTGAACAACAACAATGTTCTTATGTTCTTAGAGCTGGATATTTTGGGGGTGGAGCCTGTGGAGGGCGGGGTTTGGGCAGGGGAAATCAGCAGAGTACAATACCATAGAGTCCACCCTCCAAAACAGCCATTTTCTCTAGGGGAGCTTATCTGGAAATCACTTGTGATACTGGGAGATCTCCAGGCCACATCTGGAGGTTGGCAACCACATGCCATCACTCCCGGCACAAAACCAGTGGTGATGTCATCACGCTGGGGTAATGCTGTAAGATTCCTCCAAAACTCTGCACTTTAGTTCTATCGCCATCTAATGAATGTTTTATATTGACTGGTTGCGTTTTAACTGATGCCTTGTATTTATATTTTATTGTGTATGTATACTGCTTGTCAGTTTTTGGAAGCCGCCCTGAGCCTGCCTGGAGGGGAGGGTGGGGTAAAAGTGAAATAAATAAATAAATAAATAAACTCTCTGGTTACGGTGATACGCCTGTCCTCACCCCCCAATTCCTCCCTAGGCCACAGACATGGGGCACCAGTCAAATGGGGTTTGAAATGAAATGACCCTCTCTGAATCTCAGTGTGAAAAGCAGAGTGCGAACAGAGTAAAAACTCTGCTTGAAGCTAGAGGAGAGAAAGCAGAAGGCTGTATCTAGCCCTTATCAGGATTGCCAACCTCCAGGTGGGGTCTGGAGATCTCCTTAGGGTTGCCAGGTCCCTCTTCGGCCCCGGCGGGGGACTTTGGGGGGTGTTCCCGGAGGGGGCAGGGCATCCCCAGTGTGATGATGTCACGTTGGGGATATCCTTGCTCCAAGACGGAGGACAAACCAAGACTCACCTTCCCATCAGAAAATGAGGCAGCCCTATCAAAAAACACCCCAAGGCCATGACTGTGCATCCTATAGCGATTAGGCGCGGCCTATGGCATTTTGCTCCGAGGTAGCTCACAAAGGCAATCACCAGCAAGTTCCCTGTGGACAGAAAGAACACAGAGCTTGAGCAGGTTTTTAGAGAGAAGGATTGCAGGTTTTAAGTTGTCACCTCAATCATTTGCGTTCCCTCTCCAAAATTTACGTTCCCTCTCATCAACGTTGTATGCAGCGAAAACAAGTGGGATTGAAAACATTAAATCCATTTCTCTAGCTCAGTATTATCTAGTCCAGGGGTCCCCCAACCTTGTTGAGCCTGTGGGAATTTTCAGAATTTTGAGAACATGTCATGGGGGCCACCATAAAGGGGTCCCAAGGGAGATGGAACCAGTCACAAAATGGCTGCCGCACAGAAGTCTGAGGGCCAAATCAAACAGACATTTTCACAAAATGTTGGGAGGTTCAAACTATGCATCTTCTTGTGTCAGTCAGTCAGTCAGTACCTTTACTGGCATAAATTAAAATCAAACTCTGTACAATAAAAAATCAATCCTCTCTCCAGAACTTTAATCTTATATTCCCTGATCCTCATAGCAATCAGAAGAAACCTCGCTGCTGAGAGGGTGATGGGGGAACACGGATCCAATAACTGAAGGGAAACAAGCCTCACTTCTGGGAGGCTATGCCAGTTATGCCAAATAGGGCTAATTAAGACACCCCATATTTTGACATAAAATTCACATCGAAGCAAAAGATGAGCAATCGATTCTGGTTCCCTACTACTGCATGGGCAGATTCTTTTGCGGTAAGGCAGATTCGCAAATCTCCCATGAAGAACTGCTGACGGGAAAACATTGCATCGTGCAAGCACAACGGCACAATGTAACTGGGGAGCTGTAAGCTGTGTAAAACAGGCAGCTGGAAGCCCCTGTCTCGATGTTATAGTAAACCACAGAGGGTAGCAAGTTTTACCTGCAAGAGACCAGAGGATTTGTTTCTCAAGGTTGAGGAGTCCCCAGGTCCAAGCAGGGAATCCCCTGGTTTGGGGGACTTTGGCCCACCACCGTCCAGCTGGCCAGCAGAGTAAATCCCACCACAAATAGCGACATCCCCATGCAACGTCCCTGACATGCTGACATCACAGGGAAGTGATGTCATCATGTCGGCAACGTCGAGGGTGATGCTCTGATTTTTGGGAAAAACTCTATGGTTTGACACCCGATTTTACCATAGAGTTTTGCCCCAAAACCAGAGCAATTGCCTTCAACATTGCCAATGTGATGATGTCACTTCTGGGTGACATCCGTGTGTTGGAGACGTCCCTGCCCACTCCGAGAACGCCTCCCAGATCCCCCCCCCATCAGCAAGACAAGGGGACCTGGCAACCCTAAGTCAACAGAGAGCAGTTTCCCTGGCATTGTACCTTGCTGAGGTCCTACCATGGGACGTCCCTGCCCACTCCCAGAACGCCTCCCAGATCCCCCCCATCGGCAAGACAAGGGGACCTGGCAACCCTAAGACAACAGAGAGCAGTTTCCCTGGCATTGTACCTTGCTGAGGTCCTACCATGTCCCAAACTCCATCCTCTAGGTTCCACCCCACCCCCAAATCTCCAGGAGTTTCCCAACCCAGAGGTGGCAACACTCCTCAGGCATCACACTGAAGATGATAACCATCTATTCTGAAGGGCAACAATTCTCCAGGGTCTCAGGCAGAGAAAGGACTTCCCCAACACTTATTATCTGAGATCTTTTTAATGGAAGATACCATGAATTGAACCTTCTGCATGTGTCCCCCTCCCATTTCCTTCTCTGAGGTTTTCCTGATTGCAGACACTTTCTCCTGTTCTATTGAAGTGAAGGGGAAAAGAACTTTCCTTCCATTCGCTTGCATGGTGCAACGGGGTGGAAACACTGCAATTAGATAACAGATGGACCGTTGCTCCCATAGTTTGAGCATGTGCAGGCAGGGTTCCTGTTAAGTCCGGTGCTTAACAAAATAGTCAGAGAGTGATTTCAGCAAAACTCAGGTTTATTTCAGCTCGACGATCACTTCTCTAACACGGTACAACTTCTGATAGCCCGAACAGCTTTTCCATTGCAGCTGCTCGGTATTTAAACATTCCGGGCTAATGTAGCCACGCCTACTATACAGTTATCAACCTATCAGGTTGAGCGAATAAGGACCAATCAGAATCTTTCCCGCTTATATACATTTGAACCTGATTGGTCGCATTAGTCTTGGACTTCAATCCCTGTTCAAGACGAAGCTTAACATTGCTTCCTTATGAGATGTTTCACATTACATCTTAACGTATTCATGGCAGCTTCTGAATACATTACAGTTCCCAACGTTGGGTTGGGAAATTCGTGGAGACGTGGGGATGGAACCTGAGGAGGAGAGGGACCTCTGTTAGATTTAATGGCGTAGGGCCCACCCTTTTCTCCAGGGGAAACTGATCTTGTCATCTGGAGGTCAGTTGTCATTTCTAGGAGATTTCCAGGCCCCATCTGGGAGTTGGCAAGTAGGGCTACCAACTCCAGGTTGGGGAATTCTTCGATATTTGGAGCCTGGAGAAGGTGGGATTTGGGGAGGGGAGGGGAGGGGAGGTAGTGCAGCAGGGATGTGATGCCGCATGCCACAGAGCCCACCCTCCAAAGTAGCCCTTTTCTCCAGGAGAACTAGGGTTGCCAAGTCAGAAGCGGCGCTGGAGCGGGGGACTCCAGTGCTGCTTTGGGAGTGTGCGCGCTCAATGTTGAGGAGCCATCCAAGGGAAAACCATAGAGTTTTCCCTCAGATGACTGTGGCCCCGCCCCCAGCGTGCCCACGTCACTTCCAGGTGACGTGCACGTCGCGTGCTTTTGGGGAGGGTTTTCCCCCCCGGGGCCCGATCCGCCGGCGTCGGGGAACGGACCTTTGGGGCGGGGGGTTTCCCGCCCCCCGGGGGGACTTGGCAAGCCTAAGGGGAACTGATGCCTGTAGTCTGGGGATCAGGTGTAATTCTGAAGTTGGCAAGATTCCCGGCGATCCTACACGGAGGGTGTGTGAAGATTTCCCAAACATCCTGGATTTCCTGGAAATTGTCACCACTAGCAACTAACTGTACGTCTCATGGGGTTGGGCCAACCGTGCAGTCTGAGGGGAAATAAAACTGAGGAATAGCCAGCTACCGCAAAGCTATAACTCTTTCCAAAAGCCTACCTTTTCCGTTTTTCATTATTCTGTGCTGCATGACCTCCCTCTCCAGGATTACAGTGCACATCTATCGGGTGTAAAGTCTTTCAAAACCGCCAATGAGTTGAGGCTTTCCATCTACTTAATGAGGACAGACTATTGGGTGACTAGTGCCAAATCAAGTAGCGATAGCAGAGGTCATTTCGGGGGGATCGCGGGGGATCGCAGTTCCCTCGGGTGAGGTGTGGGGGCGGGGCACACGACGAAGCCACACACCCTGCTTCCGGCCACCCCGCTTCTGGCCCTCATTCAGCCAGGAGGAGGCAGGAGAAGAGGGAGGGTAAGTTGCTTCCTCCCCGACTCTCCCCACCCCTGCCTGCCTGGGGCCAGGGAGGGCCTTGGTGGGGCTTCCTCACACTCCCACCGGCTTTGCAGGTCCACCGTCAGGCCTTATGATGTCTGGGGGTGTGGCATATGCTAATGAGTTATGCTAATGAGTTCCCCTAGCTCTTTTTCTACGAAATGACCCCTGAGTGATAGTATCTACTATTTAGAGGCATCCCTTTATTTTTTATGGTGTTAGGGGAGTGGTAATTTGTGGATATGCACTTTCATACGACTTTTATTTGCTCTAGAATACCACTTCACAAAATATTTTAGTTGCTATTACAGTTGTTTTAAGCTATTCCTCATTCCTTCAGTCTATCCATGGATCTAGAAGTATTACAGATCAAAAGCAGCAATACTTCAAAGAATAAAATTCATTCCTTCGGGCACCCACATATCCACAGGAACTTGAACCAGTCCGCTATAAATGTTTCACGACCTCCTGGACTTGCAATTCATCTGCAGACATCAGAGATCAGTTTTCCTGGAGAAAATGGCTGCTTTGGGGGGTGGATTCAATGGCAGTATATCCCACTGAGGCCCCTCCTAGGGTTGCCAGGTCCCTATGTCGCCACGACGGGGATACTTGGGGAACATTCCAGGGGTGGGGAGGAGCTGTGGTGGCTCAAGTGGTTAAGACGCTGAACTGCAGGCTGTGGAAGGTCAGTAGTTCAGCAGTTCGAGATCCGAGTGTGCCGCATGACGGAGTGAGCTCCTGTCTCTAGTTCCAGCTCCTGCCAACCTAGCAGTTCGAAAGCAAGAAATTGCAAGTAGATAAATAGGTACCACTTCAGTGGGAAGGTAACAGCGTTCTGTGCGCCTTGGTGTTTAGTCATGCCAGCCACATGACCACAGAAATGCCTTCGGACAATGCTGGCTCTTCAGCTTTGAAACGGAGATGAGCACCGCAACCCTAGAGTCGGATTCGACTGGCTTTCAAGCAAGAGAACATTTACCTTTACCTTTTACCAGGGGTGGATGTCACATACTGGTTTTAGAGCATTTAATGGTTTGCTCCTCCTGGAGTCTCAGTGAAGAAGGTGGAGTATAAATGAAGTAAACAAAAAAAATCTCTCAACAGGGCCTTAAAGAGAATGAGGTGGAGTGCATCTGTGCATCTCAACCCAGACTACATTTTCCATCAGTGAACAGAACTTTTCTGTTTCCCCTTCCCAGTGCAGTCCAAATGCTGTTCCTAGGGCATAGGGAATCCGGAGGAATGACAGGGTGGGGATATGCAGCTAGGGATGGGCATTAACTGGCTCATGGACTGAAGTTTGTCATGACCTTTGGGCGGTTAGTGATTTGCAAAGCGTTGTTTGTGAACTGAAGAACTGCCATGAACTTTCACGAATTTTGATGCAGTTCATGGTGGTTTGTGAAGAGCAGAAAGCTGAAAGAAATGGCATACCCACTTCAAATGGCTCCAAGCTATTTAAACCACTGCTTTCTGCTCTTCACGAAAAACACCTGAGCAGCAGGTTGTTCCTCACTGTTCAACTGTTTAGTTTAAATAGCTGGGAACCATTTAAACCACTGCTTTCTGCTCCCTGTGAAAAGCCACATGGAGAAGAAAGCAGGAGTCACAAAGCCATATGAACTAGTTCGGTTCATGAACCAACCTCCCAGTTCATATAGGTTCATGGTTCGATTCGTGGTTCGGCCACAAACCACAATCCAAACCGCAAAAATGCAGTTCATGCCCATCCCTATATGCAGCTGGAAGGGGAAATCAGCAGAAACTGCCAGTGTAGCTTAGATCCAACTCACTAACTGTAACAACTGGCATACCCATTTCAAAGCTTCCACTGATCACTCCAAGCAGTGAGGCGGGGATGTTGAACCGCCGTTCGAGCTGTGTGAGCATGCTGTTCATGTAAGCCCCAGACATGGTCTTGGCCAGATAGGCAAAAGAGAGTGCCAGCAGAAATACCTAAAAGAGAATGAAGGAAAAAAAACCATTCAATAAATAACGGGAGACTGTTAAATAGCATTAAAGCAGGATGTCAGATTTCTGATCTCCAGGGCTGCAAAAATAATGGCCAGAGGAATAACCGTGGTTTCCATGGGAAGCCATCAACAAACAGCTTTCCTGTGGCGAGTGATTCCTATCAGGCTCATAATATCTGCAAGTTCGCAGCATGTATCTTTCAACCAGGGCTGGTAAGATCTTGGAAAGGGGCCGTGGCTCAGTGGCAGAGGGACTGATTGCTGATGAAAAGTGCTGTCAAGTCTCAGCCCTCTTATGGCAACCCTGTACGGGTTTCAAGGCAAGAGACGGTCAGGGGTGGTTTGCCATTGCCTGCCTAAGTGTAGCAGTTCTGGACTCCGTGGTGGTCTCCCATCCAAGTACTAACCAACACTGACCCTGCTTAGCTTCTGAGATATGATGACAGCCCTTTCCACTTTAAATGTTACTCTCAGGGTGCTCATTCACAATTCCTAGGGTTTAAGGTCCAGAAAAGACAGCCACAATGGCAGCAAATGACAACAAAAAAAGTTGGAGATGGGTGGGACCTCCTGGCTTCCCTTCCATATTTGAGTGGTGGACTTGAAATTTTTGGCTCCACAGTCCAGAATACATCTTGGAATGTATTTCTGCTTTCCTACCAGAACATCCTACTACAGTCTAGTCATTAGAATACTTCTGGAAGCTTGGTAGGTCTTACTGCACACGTGCAGAGATCTCTTGTGCCCATGTGACACTGTGGTCATTGTGCCACACTGGCTTGTAAAGATGTGACAGAACTGATGCATTTGATAAGAAGCCAGCGGGGGAACTGCGATCCCCCGCGATCCCCCCGAAATGACCTCTGACTGACCCTGCTTAGCTTCTGAGATATGATGAGATCAGGCTAGCTTGGGGTGGTTCATTGGTTTGCGTGCATAGATTTCCAAATTCAGAGTATCTCCGTTAGATTTGAGTCTTGTAGCACCTTAGAGACCAAGGAGAGTTGGTGTCTAAGGTGCTACTGGACTCAAAGCTCACTGCTCTACTGCAGACTGACATGACTAACCTCTGAAACAACCTCCGTCTGAAAGATCCCAAGCAGCAGGTACTGCAGAAGCCTTTCTCTGCTTGCGATCCTGCATCGCTGATGCCAGTCAGGACTAGAATCATTGAGTTGGACGGGACCTCCAGGGTCATCTAGTCCACCCCCCTGCACAATGCAGGAGATTCACAAATACCTCCTCTCTACACCCCCAGTGACCGCTGTTCCACAGATGACAAGAAACCTCCGGGATCTCCAGCCAAACGCCTGGAGAAAAATTGCTTCCTGACCCCAACGTGGCGATCAGCATTTTCCAGGGGGTGTAAAAAAGATGGAGCAACGATTTGATTGGATATAAGACATCTTCCTATGTACCACCATGTTTGGATTTCCATATCCCTGTTCTCGAGAGCAGCAGCTTATGCATGTGTTTGTGTACGGGTTTCAAGGCAAGACATGGTCAGGGGTGGTTTGCCATTGCCTGCCTAAGCGTAGCAGTTCTGGACTCCGTGGTGGTCTCCCATCCAAGTACTAACCAACACTGACCCTGCTTAGCTTCTGAGAGATGACGACAGCACTTTCCACCTTAAATATTACTCTCAGGGTGTTTGTTCACAATTCATAGGGTTTAAGGTCCAGAAAAGACAGCCACAATAGCAGCAAATGACAACAATAAAAGTTGGAGATGGGTGGGACCTCCTGGCTTCCCTTCCATATTTGAGTGGTGGACTTGAAATTTTTGGCTCCACAGTCCAGAATACATCTTGGAATGTATTTTTGCTTTCCTACCAGAACATCCTACTACAGTCTAGTCATTAGAATACTTCTGGAAGCTTGGTAGGTCTTACTGCACATGTGCAGAGATCTCTTGTGCCCATGTGACACTGTGGTCATTGTGCCACACTGGCTTGTAAAGATGTGACAGAACTGATGCATTTGATAAGAAGCCAGGTCCAGTGTGATACGGTTCTTCCTTGTATGCAGGGCTATTTTGGGGCAGGAACGCACAGGAACGGAGTTCCGGCTGGCTTCAGAGTTGGCCACGCCCACTAGAGCTAAAACCTCTGCGTGTGTGGCTACAGAGGGAAGGCCTGGAGAGTGAAACCCCCGGCAATTTGGAGGCAGGAGGACCGGGGGGGGGCTGGAAGGTTCAGGGAGGCATTAAAATGTCTCCCGGTGCCTTCCTTGGTCTGTCCAAGGGCCGGCTTGACCAGGCCACGGTAGCCACGGGCAAGCCAAGGGAAGGCAAAGTGCCTCCGCTTCCCTTCAAGGGGGGGCTTGCCAAGAGAAGGCATGGGGTGTGGCATAATATGCTAATGAGCTGCTCTGTCAGGGGTGTGGCCTAATAGGCTAATGAGTTTCTGCTGTTGGGTGTGGCCTATTATGCTAATGAGTTCCTGCTGGGCTTTTTCTACAAAAAGAGCCCTGCTTGTATGGAACTGCAAATTCATGTGTTCAGCCTGGAGCAGAATGTGGCAAGACCTCTAGGAAGAGAGGCAGCTCACTTCAGGCCTTAACCCTACCTCGCTACTGAATAATATTCCATGTGCTTCAGATTTTGGTTGGATTCCAGTCTAGTAGCACCTTATAGACCAACAAGACTCAAAGCTCCCTTTGTCAGAGTTCAGTTGGGCAGCAAAGTGATTTCAGAACAAGTGCAAAGCATATTTCAAAAACCCACTGTTAAATATCTTCATTAATGTATTGCAAAATAATCCCAGTTAATTAGACCACAGCTGTGCTGTTTGCACCTTCAAACAGTCACTTTGCAAGTGATTTGTGCCTTTGGCATGCCCGGGCACAGCCAGGGACAGGGCAAAGCTGGCTCCTGGTGGATACCAATGACAGGAGAGCTAAAGGCAAAAGATTTATGTGAAAGAAGGGAACTAACCAATCAAGAGGGCTAATGCTGTGGCTTCAGTCTACTGCAGGGGTAACAGCAATACGACAGGGATGGTTGTTGGTGCCTTTCCTGTTTAGTTTTTTTTAAATGACGAAGCAACAATCTTTAATCATGCCCACCGTCCACCAAAAACCAACCGTCCCTCTGCACTCAGTGATAAGGATCCTAAGTTGACTCTAGCAACTGCAAGATTTGTCTCAGTTCTTTTAGCCCTTGTATCAAAAAAGGAAGGAAGGAAGGAAGGAAGGAAGGAAGGAAGGAAGGAAGGAGGAGAGGAAGGAGGAAAGGAAGGAGGGAGGGAGGAAGGGAGGGAGGGAGGGAGGAATACTAGATGAATACGAGAGAGAGTGTGTGTGCTGGGCATTACAAGTTGAAAACACTCAGTAT